AGTTTTTTGCACTCTCCTCTTTCACCCTCATTACAAGGTTCCTTAATTCTTCCTCACCTTCTGCCATCAGAGTGGTATCATCTGCATATAGGAGGTTGTTGATATTTCTTCCAGCAATCTTAATTCTGTCTTGGGATTCCTCCAGTCCAGCCTTTTGCATGACGTATTCTGCATATAAGTTAAATAAGCTGGGGGACAATGTACGGCCTTGTTGTACTCCTTTCCCAATTTTGAACCAATCAGTCGTTCCACATTCAGTTCTAACTGTTGCTTCCTGTCCCACGTATAGGTTACTCAGGAGATAGATAAGGTGGTCAGGCACTCCCATTTCTTTAAGGACTTGCCATAGTTTGCTGTGGTCCACACAGTCAAAGGCTTTTGCATAGTCAATAAAGCAGAATGTTTTTCAGGAACTTTTTGGCTTTCTCCATAATCCAGCACATGTTAGCAATTTGGTCTCTAGTTCCTCTGCCCCTTCATAATCCAGCTTGTACTTCTGGGAGTTCTCAGTCCACATACTGCTGAAGCCTACCTTGGAGGATTTGGAGCATAACCTTGCTAGTGTGGGAAATTAGAGTAACTGCACGGTAGTTGGAGCATTCTTTGGCACTGCCCTTCTTTGGGATTGGGATGTAGACTGATCTTTTCCAGTCCTCTGGCCACTGCTGAGTTTTCCAAACTTTCTGGCATATTGAATGTAGCACCTTAACAGCGTCATCTTTTAAGAGTTTAAATAGCATAAAAGGCTTTGCTCTGCTCACAGAAGGATAACAGAGAGGGTGGCAACGTAGCTTTTTTCAGTAGGGAGCACACACTGGGAAAGCCTTCTCTTCCTCATAAAATGTATTTGTGACAAGAGCTTCTTCCAAAGATCTTAAAAGTCCAGCCAGTCTTGTAAGTTTTATCATTTAGCAGTATTTTTAAAAGTAAAGATACAAGGGTCACTTGCAGGAAGTTTTAAAAATTCCATCCCACTCACTGGCTACTTTTTTCCAAGCAGGGTGATTGTGAAAAGCTGATGGACAGCATTTTAGAAAAGATCACAATGAATCGCAAAAAAATGCACAGCACGAAACTTTTGAGAGTCCCAACCAGCTACACAGTGAATCATCCCCAAGTGGACTGTGCGCTGATCATAGATGGACCGACGCTAGAATTTGCTTTGCATGAAAGAGTGAGGAGTAAGTTCTTAAAGCTCACAGCGTGCGTTCGGGCTGTCATCTGCTGCAGAGCGACACCCCTGCAAAAGAGCCGAGTGGTGAGAGTGGTGCAGAAGGGGATGCAAGTAATGACCCTGGCTATAGGTGAGTTGCCTGCCTTACACGCGGAAGCTGTGTTTGTGTATCTTCTTTGGACTGAGTGTTTGTGAGGCAGCAAGTTTGTTATTTTGGCTTTTCTCATCCTATAAAATGTGCATTGATAGTACCATGTAGCAAATTGATTGCAATACAGTGGTGCCTCGCTTAACAAGGAAAACAATTGCAATCGCAAAACAATGGTTTAAATGGGGTTTTTTTTTTGTTTAACGATGATCAGTTCCCTGCTTCGGGAACCGATTTTCACTTTACGACGATCAGCAAACAGCTGATCATCAGGTTTCAAAATGGCCACCAACTGAAGAAAATGGCCCCCCGCTGTTTTCTAGGACGGATTCCTCGCTTTACAGGCACCAAAAATGGCCGCCGTATGGAGGATCTTCGCTGGACAAGCAGGTATTCAGCCCATTGGAACGCATCAAATGGTTTTCAATGCGTTTCAGTGGGGGTTTTTTTGTTTCGTTTGACGATGTTTTCGCTCTACAGCGATTTCGCTGGAATGAATTAACATCAAGTGAGGCGCCACTGTAATATTAATAACCTAGATGATGCAGTTCATACAGGTAATGGTTACAAGAACTTCCCTCCACTTGCATTTCCCCACAAGGCTGGAATTCCCCCTTCTGTTGAAATAAACAGGGTAGCTTGCTTGTCTGAATTAAAAATTAATGAGGCTTATTCCAATGGTCACATTCATGTGTCATATTAAACCAGAAGAGGGCAGCCTCTTGCATCTAAGCATAATTTGGTCATCAAAGTTCATCAGTACCTCCCCTTTTTCTTAAACCGTACCACCTCCTCAAATGCCTATATTCTGGGGATTCCATGCTGAATCTAGCTGGAAATGTAGGGGGTGACTACACATTTGTATCACTGTTTAGTTTAATTGCAGGGATGGGCTGGTTCCTTTTGCTGGACACATTTGTATCACTGTTTAGTTTAATTGCGGGGATGGGCTGGTTCCTTTAGCTGGAGACCAGATGATGGAAGTGCCAGCACAAACCAGACTGTCTCCAGAGTGTTCCAGCTTGCAGCTTTCTGGCTGCCTGTTAGCAACTAAAATATGTTTAGGTGTGGATAGGATCGCTCTATTTTGTTTCAATTCCAGCATGTGTGATCGCTGGGATCAAACTGAAGTGGAGTATGTTGATCTAATTTTCTCATCTAGTTTCAGTTTCCCAATATTATTAAGCTTAGTCACTTAATAATATTGGGAAATGTAAAGCTTTCTATGATTTCCCATGATCAGTAAGTAACTAAGCTTAAGGATATTGGGAAATCAAAATTTGATGGGACAAAGTTTGTTTGTTTGTTTGTTTGTTTGTTTTTTGAGGAAACAAAGGGTTTTTAAGCATATCAGGGCAGTGTTTTTTGTTTTTTGTTTTGTTTGTTTTTTTAGGAAACAAAGGGTTTTTAAGCCTATTGGGGCAGTGCTCATGAGCTCATGAGCTGTACCTTACTTGGGGGGGGGGAGATGAAAAGCTTTCTCCTGGAAGGAGAAGGAGAAAGGAGGGAGAAATTTTCTTTGTTTTCTTTGCCTTCTTGCTTTTCTAAAGGGAGGAGGGCCAAATAGGGTCACTTGAGGTGCACGTGCCATGTGGATGCAAGGATCATGCTAAATGGCATACTGGACCTCTGTGTGATCTTAGATGACCTATTTAGCTCAGCTCTAGTTGAGCCATCTAGTCAAGCCCCTGATTCAGATGGGAGGAATCCTACCATTATCTCTAAACAGTAATCCTGTTGGATGGCCTGGGGTATGAATGGGACTTTTCATCGTCCAGGGAGATGCACAGAACTCCCTCCCTCTCTCTGTAAGGAGAAAGTGAAAATGGAGGAACGGGAGGGAGTCAAGCCAGATCATGGCAGAGTTTGGGGGCTGAACCTTACAGCCACCCTCCCATCACATCTGATCTACGATAAGAGGCCAGAAGGCAAACTTGCCTGCAAGACCAAAAGCATTCTCCACCCTACCCCAAACCCTGGACACAGGTTTCTAAAGGTGGTTAAAAAGAAAATATTGTATGTTTTCTCCCCACCCACCTTCCAATTTAGGACACAGGTTTCTAAAGGTGGTTAAAAAGTAAGTGTATTATATGTTTTCTCCCCACCCACCTTCCAACTTCTTTTTGTTTCTAGGGGAGAAACAGATTTTCTCTATATTTTCAAAATATTCAGAAATTATAGATCTCTAAATTGGAGGAGTTAGAAGTCTGCTAATTACTGTGGAATAGGATTTTTTTTCCCCACGTGCAAAGCATGGTTTTAATAACAGAATTTTATCTAAGACCATACCAGGGGTTACATTTTCTGTCCACACTTGCAAACAGAGATTGGGGAAAGGTTTGGGGTTTTCTTTGCCATGATGATAGGGGGATCCTGAGTCCACAAAACTAGCTTTTCAAAGCTCTGTGCAGTGATTCCCATAATTATCAGCCTTCCCCACTGAGGCCATCTGCAATTTTATTAAAGAATGCAACAGTCTATTCAGTGCCCCATTAAGTTTAGCTCTGCATGTCCAATCTGTTTGTCTTCATCAAGATTTTGCTGAATGCAACAGCCTCCCAAGCTAGTTTTCATTGCAAACCTGTACTTTCCTTTTTCTTGGAAGGTGATGGTGCCAATGATGTCAGCATGATCCAGGTCGCTGACATTGGAATTGGAATCTCTGGCCAAGAGGGCATGCAGGTAGGAGAGAGTGCCTTTAAGGCTGGCCAGACTCTAATCCCTGTAAGAGTGCTTTTGATGTAAGCTATGGCCCTTATCTGCTGTGTGGAGGCAAAAAGGGACTGCCCAAAGCAGTTGTGAAGGTTAACCTTCTGTAATGTTAGCTTCAGGGTTTATGCTCTGATGAGAAATACAGTGGTGCCTCGCTTAATGGGCGCCCCGTTTAACGACGAATCCGCATAG